AAAGTTCATCGAACTTAAACAGATAATTGCGAACGCTTCCGTAAAGATAAACAAAGTTAAAATATCACATGCCATTACTCGATAGCTTAAGTGCACAATGTTGATTTTTCTTTATATATATATTAGGTGTAATAAAAAAAAAAAATATATATATATATTGGGTTGTCCGGAAAATTCGTGCCGACTAACTTATATAATTTAATAAATGTATATTAAAATTTAAATTTTCTGCATTTCAATTTTCCTTCAACATCGGCACGAAATTTTCGGACAATCCAATGTATACACAATCTGAAAAAAATAATTCCTTAATAAAAAAGAATTTCCCAGTGTTATTGCACAAAAATAAATTGAAGAATAATATAAAACACATATGTTATTACAAAATGATTTAGAGTCTTGAGTTTGTTCCACCAGACACTATTATAGTTTCGCCAGTGATATAAGAAGCATCATCACTTGCTAGAAATGCAGCTAAGCCTGCAATCTCATCAGGCATTCCGAGTCTTCTCATGCTAATATTCATTTTGACCAATTCGTGATTTTCTTCTGATTCGTAAAGCTGAAAACATAATAATTTATATGAGATATTCCTTTAATATAATTTGATGAGAGTTGATGACTTGGAAAGAGTTATAGAAAAATACCAATTGTGACATTTTAGTTCTTATCATTCCTGGTGCGATGCCGTTTATACGGATTCCCTTATCCGCAAGTTCACTTGTAGTAGCTTTAATCAGACCTAATAAAGCAGTTTTGCTAATTGAATATATGCTCAGTAACTGAAAAATATTGATAATGTTATTAATACTTTACTTTATTAATACTTTACTATGTTAATATTTAATAGATAGAGAAAATAAAAATTAAAGACAGTGTTTTTAAACAAACTCACATTATAAGGCTGATATCCAGCAATTGAAGACATAATGATAATAGAAGGTGATTTGCTGCATTTGAGAAGCGGCAAAGATTCCTTCATTAGTAGGTACGTACACTTGACATTGATGTCAAAAATCTTATCCCATACTTCTTCATCACTGTCCAATGCTGGACCGACTGCTGGATTAATACCTGCGTTAGATACCAAAATATCCAAGCCTCCAAAGTTAGTTTTGGTCTGTAATTTTTTACAATTTTATAATTAACTCTCATACATCAATACTTATAACTTCTCAATACATCAATAATTATATTTATATGATGATACACCTTACAATTAGAAAAGTTATAGAAATGAAGATATAATAAACTTCAAAAAAAGTGATGATTTATCATATTTTTTACTTTTTCAAACAGATTTTTCCTTTGTTCTGCCTTTCCTACATGGCAGACTGTACCAGCGACTTGCAAACCCTCAGACTTGAGTTCCTCTACAGCCTTCTTCACGTTTGCTTCCTTACGGCTACTGAGCATTACCTTGGCGCCTTCCTGTGCTAAACGTCTTGCTATGGAAAGACCTATTCTGTAAAAGTTCAAAACATAACCTTTATCGCGACATTCAAAAATAAGCCGATCTAATTATTAGCCGATTTCCATATTAATAGCAAACAAGAAAGAATAGAATTTTTTTTAATGAATGTTGATATATTGTGTAATAACCATTCAAATTAATGTTAAAAATATAAAATAATCACATTACCCGTCTGTGGATGCTGTTACGATCGCGATTTTTCCTTCCAGTCGATGACATTTTATCGAGGATGATGCATTAGCATTGAATTGTCGAACACTTTGCTTGATCGTCGTACGCAACATTTTTTGAGAGATGTAAAACAAATACGTTTAGCGTTATGCAATGTACAATATCGCATATTGCATACTCCGATAGACTTTGATCTTTCAATAATGGATTTAGATATGTGATCTATGTTTGATGTCTCCAATCTTATCTTTATATGTATAATATTGCATGACATAGGAGAAAGAGAAAAAGAATGTTCAGTACATAAATTATATATAATATATATAA